CCCACCTGCTGCGGCCGGGAGGCTGCGACACCACTGCGGGCTCTGGCTGCGAGCGGCCGCCCTGCCCGCGACCCGCACCCCGCGCCGCCTTCCCGGGAGGGATCGCAGGGTCCTGCTGCCCAGTCTTGTGCGGAGGAGGAAGCCGGTCATCAGCGTCCGGCCGACCGCACAAAGCTCGGAAATCCACTTGGCGGCTGCCTCGTCGCCGAGGTGTTATGCCAGCTAAATATTTCTAGATCGTTTACATTGAAGGCAAAGTTTATTCCGGAACTCGTCCTGGATTGATCCTTTTATAAATCTCGGGGGGAAAGCACCACCATTCACTAACTGACTCCCTTTTCCCTTAATGATTTAATTGCAAATGGAATATCTGAATGCTTTGTTTTAAAATCTCTCTTCATATTGAGAGAGGCGTTAAGACAGTGATAATATGGGCATGTATAGTTTTAGCACTGAATCTGAATATTTGCACAATTACAAATATTGGTGTTTCTCATGTCCGTGTTATCACCATATTTTCAAATTTTGTTTTTATTAGAAAGTTCAATAGAACTTTTCATCGTTCTTGAACTAATGACGTTTTAGAAAAACTTCATAACTGGACAAATATTCATAAATTCGTAATTGACGTTACAACCATTGAATTTAAATATTTGCCTGACAAGCTATATGTATCAATACTTGTATGTTCAAATTGTGCCAAGATAACCAATAACCTTCTAGCCAGTAAATATTTCGGTTATTCCATAAATTCTTAGTGATTCCATTAGTACATGAAAACAAATCCAAAATTCTGTCGTTACTTATAACTCCTGATTGATGCAGTCATTCCCTTGGAAATGGATATTTTGTTTCAGTGTTTGATAATAAACGAACCACATGCACAGCTGGATTTCTGCTGCTTTAGGGGAATTTTCTTCATTCTAATTGTGAACCCACCATGTTAGTGTTGCAACATCATGATGACAAGTCCATTTGAGTAGCCTTCCGCGAGAAATCACTTGGATCTCATACACAGCTTTACCTGCAAAACTGGACGAAACTGAACTGGATTGGGCAATCTCCATGGGTACTCAAGGAATTGCAGCGTTCCTGCCTGTCTCTTTTCTGTGGGTACACACTGCCCTCTCTGGCCAACGCGGATTGTTGCGCCTATCCGGAAAAGATTCCTTCCGTGATGGCTGAGCTCCAGTGAAAACAGTGTAGTATCTGGCTTTTATTATTTTTTTTCAAATATTATTCAACCGGAACTATTTTTACATGGCAGAAGTATTTTTACAGCTCGAGATAATTGTGCTGTTGTGGGCTTACTAGAGAGAGAGTGCAAGCTATTTTTAGTTCTTCTATACTATGCTTTGTAAGCATTAGAATTTGGTTTGGAAAGACTAAAAGAAAATATGTTAACAAAATTTGAACCTGAGAAGGTAATCTGGAGGCTGAAAGAAAAAGGGAGGGCTTGGGCTTTACTGCACACATTGAATCATTTGCTTTTTAAATCAAATGCATGTATTTCCTATATAAATAATACTAAAAATATACTTTAAGACAACTACTCTTTTCCAGTGCTACTATCTCCTTGTGTACCAAGGCGTGAACAAGCGTCCCTTAAGTGTCCTAGAAGTGAATTTTATCCTCAACAAAAGGTTCTTCTCTGAAGTAGTTATTTAACACTTGTATAATTAGAGATGCTACAAGATCAAATCCTTGTTTTGGAATATAATGGTCAGTTTCCAGTTAAATATCAGAAACAAGTGTAAAGTTATGAGTAGAAAGTGATTTATTAAATTACAGTAATTTATTTGTGTGTGTGCACACGAGTGTGTGCGGACATATATGACAACATGCATGTGGAAGTCAGAACCTGTGAGAGGTTGCTCTCGGGGATTGAACTCAGATTGTCAAGCTTGGCAGCAGGTGCTTTTCCAAACAGGCATCTTGCCAGCCACTAATTTTACTTTTTATAGATGCCACTACTCTTTTTCTATTTTGCAGCAGTTAGGACAAAAGAATTAATTGGCTATTTGAGCCTTCCCAATGTTAGTGAAAGTGAATACTTTACTTGTGTTATTAACTCCTTCAGGTATTATTGAATTTGAGTCAACCTTCTGTCTACAGTAGCTAGGCATTACAATCCTATGAAAATCGTCCTTTGAGATTATGAGCTAATTGTTTCTTCTCAAATACTATGCATTTGCTTCAGCAAAATCCTGTTAGAGCTATTGATATTCAAAGCTATATAATCCGAAGTTAAGTTTATGACATAATGGAGCTTAAGGACTCCTTGACCACATGTATTTAAAGGCCTGTCGGAACTGAATATTGCCTTCTGTTCTTTCATCTTAACCCTCGTCCAGGAAAGGTTCAGGGGTACTATTCCTTTAACAGCAAAGCCTCTTTTTAATACAGCCTTTTTAAAATGTGACCACTACCTACGCACACACACGCACACAGCTTGGAATAAATTGCTTAATTATCAATTGAAATTCCTTATTAAACAATGGCTTTATTATAATAAATGTTGAACTAGAAGCCAATTTACATTTTTAAACCACAGTGTTCCTTAAGGGAGGAGAATGTGGGCATTACAAAGCAAGTTTAAATCAAAGCCGCTTTCAGTCCTTCGGGAATACAATAAGAAAATGATAGACTCCGAATTTCATACCCAATTTTCAAACAATATTTCAAATTTTAGAGGCTCTACCTGTTTAGCATAATCTATCATCTTTCTATGTATTCTTCAGAATAATTATTGATATTTTAAATGAGCTTCTGGACTACTTTAAGGTTAAGATTGAGTTAAAAAGGAGACTCTTAAGAGGTGATTTAACCAGGATTCCTAAACTTTCCTTAATGGCAGGAGCTCTTCAGAGGCACTTAACAACAAAACCCAGAGCAGCAATTAAGAGGAGCATTGCTGTGGTTGTGGTACGGAGCCACCCACCTTCCAGCATGTTAGTGTGCTTACAAAATGACATAGTACCATATGCTAATCAGAACGTTTAATTGTGTCCTGGTTAAGGTTGGTTGAATAGAGTAATATATTGTATATAGAGAGTAATATATGCATAGAGTAATATATTAGGAATTACAACACTAGAAGATAGCAGTTATTCTTTCAGGTCTGGCTTGATCACATGAAAGTTTGATGACAGTTGCTATGGATGTGGAAAGTTGACCCCTTTAATCCAGGTGTGGCAGACAAACCTGCCCGCAGAGCACTCACTAACCACATTGTGTCCATTCTGCAGGAAGGAGAAAGCACTTCTGTGGCAGTCACTTTCTTAGAAATGTGCCTGGCAGGGGGATCAGCATCTGTAGGCTGCAGTGATGTAATGTTCACGAGCCATCTCCATCATTCACCAGTAATAGAGGAGATTTAAGTTTGGGTATTTTTTGTGCTTTGGAATGCAGTTGGTCAAAAAGAAGAAAGCCATCATTCTGTCATCTTGTGTCAGATTTAACAAAACTTATATTTACTGTTTAGATGCTTACCACAGGGGATACCTGGAAAGAGACGTGTTTAATTGCTAGCAAAGATAAGTTGAGCCAAGTTGATAAGCAAGTTTAGTGTCTGGTATCTGAATTTAAAAAAAAAAAAGTCTGTTCTTTCCATATCCTCCCTGATCCTGATTTATGATCAGATAAAAAGCTAGGCTGTATATGTGCTACTTTTTAAGTGAGATGTGAGTTTGCCAGTAAGTGCAGCTTTCTCAGTGCTGTGTGCAGTCAGATCCCTGCTTAGTCACTTCATGCCTTCCTCTAATCTGTAGGAGTGCTATTACCTGCCAGGTCAGTCTCAGCAGTGAAGATGTGTCAGTGAAGCAGACAAACATAGCTCTTTAGTAAGAAGAAACTAAATAAGCACACATACACATATGACAAATATTGGATATGTAATAGAGACAGTAGAAAAAGATGATAAAGAAAACAGATTAGAGACGCTTCACAAAATCAGAAAGAATGAAGGAATTGGCCATGCAGCGATTAATTCTAGACACATAACATGGGTTAGTCCCTAAGATAAGAACTACTTGGCATTGAAGTAATGGGAGGAGGTCTGTGGACCTACAGAGAGCAGTCGGAAGAAATGCTAAGGTTCCACATCCCACTGTACCTCAAATGAGTATGGCTGGTAGATTTATTTTACATGTAATGGGCATCTTTTGGAAGATTTAGTGAAAGGCTATGATGTGATCTAAATTATACTTTGAAAAGATAACTGGTTGCTGTACACATATTGATCCACAGAAGTCTGTAGCACAACTTTTGATTTTCACCAAATAGCCATTACTCTTTTTTATTAATTCTCTGAGTTTTAGTTAAAAAATACGGGTACTCCCAATAAAAATTGTTCCCAGACTCTCGTGAGGTTAGGAATGGTTGTGTCATTTTGTCCTATATAAATATAAAATGATATATACATCTTAAGGAAACTGTTACTTTTTATTTATAATAAACTTTTTGTTTTAAAATAATTTTAGATTCTGGGCAAGTTTTGTTTTAGTTTGTGTTTGTTTTAAGGGGAGGGGAAAAGCCTATGCCATGTCTTCCTTCATGTAGAGTA